TTGATAAGCCTGATAGAATTTTGGGTATCGAGTTTTTCAAAAGTCCAGTGGACATTTTTAATCCTTTTGCCACTGTGGAAGTTGGGATTTGATCAAAAGTTTCTGAGTGAATTTACTTTTGTGGTGGAGGATTGCACTAGTCATTATGGAGGATAGGTCTGAGAATATCCTGGAGAGCTGATTTAGTTATGGCAAATTTCTTCACCATGTGAATGTCATTAAAGTATTTAATTTCTCTATCATAAATGAAACTCAGTTTAGCTGGATACAGGATGCTGGGTTGAAAGTTACTTTGTTTTAGGAAGTTAAACTTCCTAAAACACCCTCTTCTAGCTTGAAAGGTTTCAGCAGAGAGATCTGCAGTCATTCTAATATTCTTCCCCTTGTAGGTTGTTGTTTTCTTATGTCTGGCTGCTTTAAGAATTTTCTCCTTCATATTAACTTTAGTGAAGTTAATTATGATGTGTCTGGAGGATATCTTATTCAGATTGAGTTGTGCTGGGGTTCTGAAACTATCTGCTATATGAATTTCAGAATCTCTTGGCATGTCTGAAAAGTTCTCCTTCATAATCTCATGAAGAAGAGCCTCTGTGTTTTGTGAAGCAACTTCGTCACTTTCAGGAATTCCTCTAAAGTGAATATTAGTTTTCTTTGAATTATCCCAGAGTGCTCTGAGAGAATCATCTGTTTTTGCTCTCCATTTGTCTTCCTCTTTGAACGCTTGGGAGCATTCAAAAGCTTTGTCCTCAGTGTCAGAGATCCTTTCTTCTGCTTGCTCCATTCTGTTACTGAGGGATTCTACTGTATTTCTCAGATCTTTGAGAGCTGCAAATTCTTGTCTTAATTTGTCTAAATCTTTGGTGAGTTTGTCTTTGAATTCATTGAATTCTTGAGACAACTTTTGAAATGCTCCTTGAATTTCTAATTCCAACTTTACCTCCATTCTATTAATTTTATTTGCAATCCAAACTCTGAATTTGATTTCTGACATCTCAGCCATTTGTATATGAAATGAATGGGATCTTCAGTTGTGTCCGCCATAGCATTCCTTGGGGGAGTTGCTTGACTCTGGTTATTCATGTCACTGGAGTTTTTCCACTGATTCCGCCCCATGATTATTTTACACCATTTGGCTAGATGAACAGATAAGGTGAAGTTGGGTTGGGGGGCTTCTGGAGAGTGATTAATCAGCCCTTTGCCCAAGAGCTGTGACTGGTGTCTGTACCTTTTCCCCTAGAGCTTTGCAAAGGACCCATACAGTGCTACGGCCTGAGACACTGGGGACTTAATTGGTGTGGTGGGGCTAAGTGTCTCTGTCTTGTTTTCAGTTGGTCTCTGTCCTACCCTAGTGAATCAGTTACTCTGGGTTGAAGTCTCAGCTGTGGAGCAATACCAGCAATCAAGTCACCCTGCCCCCCATGGGCAACAACTGGAAAAGGAAAATCAAAGCTTCCCAGAACCACACACCTAGGGTACCACTTTGGATAGTCCTCTGGTGATTGGTCCAGTTCGAGAGATCCAAATCAGTTGTCCCAGTCAGCACCTGGTGTCTAGTGAGGGAGTTCAAAAAGTCTTTGGCAACTAGATAACAGGGGTCTGCTGGCAGCTCTAGTATGATTTGTTCTGGTACTCCGTGGAGTCAGAAGGATCCCCCTAGCAAATGAATTAGTCTGGGAAGGTTGATGCCTGCTTCCCCACCTTCTACCTCTGTCATGCCCAGTTATTGGTAATCCCGCAGGGCTATGACCCAGTTCCCTCCAATGAGTAGATGCTCCAGGGGTTTTAGCCTGCCTGAGTCACAGAGAGATCTTATGTCTTCTTGGCCAGGTCTCTGTATTTTGCCATCATCCAGTAGGGGAAGCTTATTGGAACCTGGGGTGGTTCACTCTGTTCCAGCCCTGCCCCTGATTGATGTTGCTGACACTTATATTTATGTAGATTTTGTGATCCTGTCCTGGCTATATTCCCCTGTGGACCAGGCACTGTTTGAGTTCAGAGAAACTGTGACTCAGCCCCGGTCTGTGCTGCTGCCTGGAGCTGGTGTTTCTGTCTCCCTGGCAGGCTGTGTTGGAGTGGTTGCAGTTAGAGCTCACACTTGGCTTGGAGTTCCAGCCTCGGCCTGCCTGCCTTTGTCTCAGCTATGATGCCCTGAGGGCCGGGTGTTTCTTAGGCTCACTAAAGCAGTCCTGGCTCAGTTCTACCCTGGGAATATGCCGTCTCTGCATGCACCTTCTATTCTCTGTCCTTGCTCCCCTCTGCCCAGGCTGGTACCACCTCAGGCAAACCCTTTATCACGGGGCCTGCGTTACTGTCCCAGATCTATTCCGCCAGTGTCTGCCACCAGGGAAGATGCCTGGCTTTCTCTGGTTTCCCAGAGACAGGGAGTGTCCTTCCAAAATATCCCCAGGGGTGTAAGCCCTATTGTTCTAGCTGCTGCTGCTGCTGCATGCTGTGGACCACCGCCTCTCCCCCTCCTGTCCACTTCCTTCAGTCCACCACCTCCTTATTCCTGTGCTGCAGAATCAGTACAAACCTGCAACAGTCCACACCCTGTCCACATTTCTTGAGAAAATGCCCAAGACTCTGGACTCCATGGGGGACAGGCTTTCAGACCTCGGGGTGAGAGTGCAGGGAAGTGCTGGGAGTTCAGAATTGCAGGTAGAGAATATATACAGTTTTATACAGTTTTATGCCTGGCAGGAGAGTGTCATGGAACCCTAATAGGGGAAGGAGGTCTGGTTTTTAGAGGGGCTCTCCCATGGGATAAAATGGGAGGATGTTTGAACTTTGCTCACTTGTTTGTAGAAAGTATACTGCGAGCTGTTCTCATGGGGAAGGGAACTCCTTTCCACTTGGTGATGGATTTTGAACCTATTGTTTGTATCCTTGGAGGTCACAGCTCGCCTCAGTAGGGTTGATGTGTGTTCTTCAACCTTCTGTCTTGGCTCAGCTCCAAACCATCAGCTTACTTGCTAAACTTCTGTCCTTTAACCTTTAACTCTCCTTCTGGACGGGAGCCTCTGCAGAAAGCTGGCTCTAGTCAGCCATCTTGCCTCCGCCCCCCTTGAATTAATTTTTGTATAAAATGTGAGACTTAGGTTAAGGTGTCGTGTCTTTTATTTTTGACCTATATACATCCTGTTCCCCAACATGAATGTTGAAAAGCCTATCTTTCCTCCACTGGCTTGCTTTTGCAATTTCATAAAAAAATCATTTGGGCATATTTGTGTGGGTTTGTTTCTGAGTTGTCTGCTCTGTTAACATGTGTTTCTGTTCCTCCACCAAGTTCATGATTACTGTAGCTATTTAATAGGTCTTAACGTCAGGCAGACCAATTCCTCTTACTGCCTGACTTTAAGACCTATTAAATAGCTACAGGCCCCTGACACAATGCCTAGTTATTGTTTGGTTGCAGTTATTGTTGTTTAGCAGGCCCTGGCTGGGCTTGAACCTGCCAGCCATGGTGTATGTGACTGGCTCCCTTCTTAGTGAGCTGTGGGCACCAAGCCAAGGGAAAGGAAACTTATTATTATTATTATTTTTTTTGCAGTTTTTGGCTGGGGCTGGGTTTGAACCTGCCACCTCCGGTGTATGAGGCCAGCGCCCTACTCTTTTGAGCCACAGGCACCACCCCTGGAAAGGAAACTTTTGTTGGAGGCTTTTATTTTCTGCATCTGTTGACATTTCTGCATTGCTGGCTTTTTCAGTTCCAAGTCTGGGATATAGGAAGAAAAGAAAATCTTCTTTGGTTCCCGAGGTCTCTCTCCATCTGCTGCCTCCTCTCCTCCTTTCAAGATCATCTTATATTTGTTTAAAAAAATGTTCAGAGTTTTACTTGTGTTTTGCTGAAAGGATAAGGCAAAGTATGTCTACTCTTATCTTCCTGGAATCTGTGTTCACAGTTTCTTTTTGGAGTTATAAAAATTTTGGGCTGAGTTCAGTGGCTCATGCCTGTTATTCCAGCACTTTCAGAGGCTGAGGTGAGAAGATTGCTTGAAGCCAGGAATTTGAGACCAGCCTGAGCAATATATTGAGACCCAGTCTCTCCAAAAATAAAAAAGGGAAAATCAGCCAGGTGTAGTGTCACGCACCTATAGTCCCAGGTGCCCAGGAGAATGAGGCAGGAGGATTGCTTGAACCCAGGAGTTTGAGGTTGCTGTGAACTTTGCTTATACTACTGTACTCCAGCATGGGCAACTGAGACTGTATCTCAAAAAAAAAAAAAAAAAAAAAAAAAAAAAAGAAAAAAATCTTTCCAACATTTAGAATAGTAGAATAAGATAGTATCAGTAGACCTATTTTCCAGGTTTAAAAATTATATATGTTTTTCTATCTGTCTTACTCTATTTTTTGAGGTGTTTTCGAGTAAATTATAGATATGACATTTTACTTTTAAAACAATATGCATCTTTAAAAAAAAATTTTGGAACATAGACAGTGTTTATGACTAATGATTTATAGTAATATCTTCATATTATCTAATGTTTAGTTCATATTCTGATTTCCCTATTTATTCCCCACATGTCTTGTGGCTAAAATAACAAAGATCCAATCAAGAACATAAATGGTATTTTGTTGTCAGGCTTTTAAGTTTTCCTTAATCTTGAGCAGTTCTTCTCCTTTTTTATTTCCATGATATTAATTTATTGAAGAACTAGTTTCTGTTGAACCTTGGAATCCCACTATTTATAGGGTTTGTCTCACTGTGTCCTTGTGCTTATCTATTGCATTTTTTGTAAACTAGAAGTTAGATCTAAAGACTTGATTAGATTCAAGTTTGATGAGAATGGTTCACAGATGTTAAGCAGATTTTCTTTCTTTCTTTCTTTTTATTAAATCATAGCTGTGTACAATAAAGAAATCATGGGGTACACTGTGCTGGTTTTATATCTAATTTGAAATATTTTCATCAAACTGGTTAACATAGCCTTTACGGCATTTTCTTAATGATCATGTTAAAGCAGATTTTCTTAAGTTTATGTTATGTCTAACTTTTATAGACAAGATGCCTTCTGCATCCTGTGATGCACTATTGGATGACATAGAAGATATCGTGTCACAGGAAGATTCAAAGCCACAAGATAGGCATTTTTCGAGAAAGCATGTTGTTCCAAAGGCACGAAGACGAAATACCCAAAAATATTTGCAAGAGGAAAACTGTCCCCCCAGTGATAGGTAAGCTTTTTTGCTTTAAATGGTCTTGTTTCCTTCCACAGGAGGATTTAGTGCTACTAGTTTATGTGATATACATACTGTCTCTCTTTTTAAGAATGTTTGAACTTTTGATAGGAAATACAGTTTGAGTATCCCTTAACTGAAATGCCTGGGCAGGACCAGAAGTGTTTTGGGTTGTTTTGGATTTTGGAATAGCTGCATTATGTAATTACCTGTTGAGCATTCCTAATCTGAAAATCCAGAATCCTCCAATGAACATTTCCTTTGAGTATCATTTTGGTGCTCAAAAAGTTTTGGATTTTGAGTATTTTGGATTTCAAATTTTTAGATTAGGGATAGTCAGCTTTCTTTTTTTTTTCTTTTTAATTGAATATATTTAGATTTGGTAATTAGTTAAAAAAGAAAAAGATGTCAAATTGGATGTTCCTTGCATTGCAGCAGGCAGGGCCCAGGACAGTAGAAATCTCTTTGCTATAACTGTAGTTTGTGTATAATTCTGTGTTACTTCCACATTTTTACTAGAAGTTGGAAGTTTTTTTTTGTCTGTCACCCAGGCTGGCATGGGGTGCAGTGGCATAATTATAACTCACTGCAACCTCAGACTTCTGAGCTCAAGTGATCTTCCTACCTTAGCCTCCTTGAGCACCTGGGACTACAGGTGCATTCCACCATGCCTAGCTAATTTTTAAAAAATTATTTTTGTAGAGACCGGGTTGCCAAGTGATCCTCCTGTCTCAGCCTGCAAAATTGCTTGGGATTATGGGTGTGAGCCACCATGCCTGGCTTCAGTTTATGATTTTTTGAAGACAGTGGTACTTTAGATATTTGATTTTTTCTTAGCCAATTTACAAATACTGCTGGGTCAGCTAAATGCATTGGGTACAATGAAATTATTGCCTTACATAATGCTTTATAGTAGGTATCTAGTCAGTGAAATTCTAATACAGCCTAACCAGAAAGGATTATGTAATTGTATAGTTTTAATAAGCCTGTGTTTACTACATTGTTGAAAGTTTTAATATACTGTTTTGTTTGGAATATTAAGCCTTTAAAATCTCTGAATTTAAATTTACTTATATTTTAATAACTGAAGTTTATCAAATTTTCCCATCTTCAGGGTAATTTCTATTTACTTATAAATTATTAGAGCACTCCAAATTGAAAGTTCATTTTTTTCTTCCCAAAAATGTTACCTTTTTTTAGAAGTCTGTTTCTTTTCTTTTTTTTGAAACAGAGTCTTACTATGTCACCCTTGGTAGAATGCTGTGGCATCACAGCTCACAGCAGCCTCAAACTCTTGGGCTTAAGTGATTCTCTTACCTCAGCCTTGCAAGTAGCTGGGACTACAGGTGTCCACCACAATGCCTGGCTGTTTTTTTGTAGTAGTTGTCATTGTTGTGTGGCAGGCCCTGGCCAGGTTCGAACCTGCCCCCCCCCAGGGTTGTGCTGGTGCCCTAGCTGCTGAGCTATAGGCGCTGAGCCAGAAGTCTCTTTTTATAGATGGGGTACTTTGAATAATGCCTGATTGTTATTTATATCTGTAAGTTTGTAAGGTTGCAATTAGTATATAGATATACTTAGTTTTCTTTCATCTGTTATTGTTGCCAGAACCATTTTCTTGGCTATTTTTATTTATATATACTTTTCTAACAGTTGAACTTAGTAAGGTAGTAGTATGAATTTAAAATGTAATTCAGAGATAAATGAGGTTTTTTAAACTGTAGAGTCTTAAAATTCTATGGTTATATTATCTTGATTTCAGACTTTTGAGGTAACAGCAGATTTTGAATTAAGTTGGTGCATTTAATAAATATCTTGTCAGTTAATTGCAGTGTGTTTGTGTGTGTGTGTGTAATGTACCCTGAAATTATGTAGTGTTTTTAATTCTAAAAGTTAATGAGACTTACTTTTAAAAAAATTCCTTGTTTAACAGCACCATTCCAGGCATACAGAAAATTTGGATACGAACATGGGGTTGCTCTCATAATAATTCAGATGGAGAATACATGGCTGGACAGCTAGCTGCTTATGGCTATACAATTACAGGTAATGAAATTTGTAATGTATTTTATTTTATTTTATTTTTTTGAGACAGAGTCTCAAGCTGTTGCCCTAGGTAGAGTGCTGTGGTGTCACAGCTTACAGCAACCTTAAACTCTTGAGCTTAAGCGATTTTCTTGCCTCAGCCTCCCAAGTAGGTGGGACAATAACCACAACACCTGGCTATTTTTTGGTTATAATTGTCATTGTTTGGTGGGCCCGGGCTGGATTCAAACCCTCCAGCTCTGGTGTATGTGGCTGGCATCCTAGCTGCTTGAGCTACAGGTGCCAAGCCTGTAATGTATTTAATTGATTACATTTCTCAGAGTTAAGTTTTTTGGAGACATGTACTCTAGCTTCAGAGATTAAAGAATATTTTAGCAAACTTAATGCTTTTAAAGCAAAACAAGAAATACTGTTTATTTGCCAAGATAACTATGGGTATCATTTTTTAAAAACTTAAGCTTGGCTCAGTGCCTGTGGCTCAAGTGGCTAAGGCGCCAGCCACATACACCTAAGGTGGTGGGTTCAAATCCAGTCTGGACCTGTCAAACAATAAAGATGGCTGCAACCAAAAAATAGCTGGGCATTGTGGTGGGCGCCTGTGGTCCCAGCTACTTGGGAGGCTGAGGCAGGAGACTCGCTTGAGCCCAGGAGTTGGAGGTTGCTGTGAGCTGTG